AGAGAGAACTTTTTAGTATAGTTAATTTCTTATTATTACTAAAAGCTATAAGCTACTACTTATATCTTTAGCTTAGTAAGTTTACCTATAGAGGTTAGTTTAGCCTTAAATATAAACTTAGAAGAAATAACTTTTATTCTTTTAGGCACTAGTATAATATTATAGACATTCTTTAGAAGTAGATTATTAAGCTTCTTATAAGTTATCTTATACTATTCTATAGTCTATAGTAACGTTATAGCCTCTTTATAAGTTTTTAGTATATAAATTAATAAAGCTAAGATTATAGCTATTACTAGATTAGTGTAGAGACTATAAAGATTAGTATTAAGATTCTTATTAATAGTAATAGGTGTATTATTAAAAGAAACTAAAGTAATATCTTAAAGATTATTATCTAGTAGTTCTTTAGTAAACTTATTACTATTATCTTTATTAATAGGCGCGTGTACGTAGCGTATTATACTCTATATTAGAGAAACCTATATATTAGAGTTATACTAAATTATCTATTCTTTCTTATTACTAATAAGGTTATAAGTAGCTAGGTTCTTATATATAAGAATATTGTTAGAGATTTTCTATATATAAGACTAGAAATTATTTACAAAATTCTTAGTTATATAAAAGTAGTATAGATACTTACTACGTTTACTAGTATAGTCTCTATTAAAATAATTGTATTATATATATTTATATAGCAATAAGTAATCTAACACTCTAGGTAGATAGGTAGCTATCTAAGTACTATTATTATTACTAAAATAAGTATAAGTAGAGCTAGACTTAATGTAATTTAAATATAGTAAGGCAAGGTTACACTATACCTATTTACCTAAATACCTAATATACTTTCTATTACTAACGTTTTCTAGTAAGACGTATAGATAGTTAGTATTCTTATATATATTATAAGAGTAGTTACTATTATATATAGTTACTAGTAAGTAACTTCTTTATTAATAGCGTAGCTGTATTTAGTTTTAGCACGTATAGTAGTATTAGTAAGATAGAAGTATAGCGTAAACTTATATCTACACTAGTTTATAGTTAAGATAGTTATTAGTAGTAATATAAGAGTTATAAACAGAGTCTAGCGCTTCTTAAGTATAATACTTCTTTTTCTAGTAAGGTATATAGTAGTTACTAGCCTATATAATTTATTATAAGGTAGCTAGAATATATATAGTTTAGCGCTTAACGTAATAGTTATATTTAGAGATTATAGAAGAAAGTATAAACTTACACTATTTTCTATACTATAAATATAAGGTATAGAGATATACTCTAGCGTTACGTATTATACTATAATACTAACTATATCTTTTATTATTCTCTAAGTCTAGTTAGAAGTTAGAAATAATAGTATTATAGTTACTATTATAGTATATAGTAGACTTATGTAGTAATAGCATACGTACTACTAGTATATCTTTAGGTACGCTTACTCTATTTATTAAAACGTCTAGTAGTACTTTATTATAGTTACTATTATAGCGTATAGTAGGCTTATGTAGTAATAGCGTACGTACTACTAGTATATCTTTAGGTACGCTTACTCTATCTATTAAAACGTCTAGTAGTATCTCTAGTAATAACTAAGTAAAGTAGAGAGAAGTAGTAGACTATAACTTAAAAGCTTATTTCTACTGTACTTTATTATTTTAAGCTATAAGAATAATATCTTAGTCTACCTAAGTCTATATATAATAGTTAACTTTTATTCTAGTTATATAATAACTATAGAGAAGATTAGAGTCTTTTAGATACTTATAACACAAACGTTAGTAACGTATATAAGGTCTATAGGCCTAGTCTAGAGGTACCTTCTATATAGTTAGAATAGAAAGAGGTATATTATTCTAGTTAAGAGCGTCTTCTATAGTAGTTAAAGTAATTAGCGTATAAAGATTATTATAGTTAGAATTAGAGTTAGAGTTATCTACAATAGTAGGCGTAGAGACAGAATCTTATAGTAAACGCTAGTTAATATATTAGCTATAAGGCTGTAGGTCTACTATACTAGTAGTGTTGTTAATACAGGTAATAAAGATCTATTTAACTTATCTAGTATTAGAGTTTTAGACGTAGTAGATATTATTACTTAATATATAGAAAAAGTGTATAATATAAGTATAAGAAGTATAAAGCTTTCTTAAAGTAACTACGTTACGTAGCTTTAGTAATATAGTAACGTATACGTAAGCTCTCTATACACTAGCTTTAGATAGGTTAGATTACCTCTAATATAGTACCTTATATAAAGTCTTAATATATTTAAGAGCTTTAGATAGAGAATTATTTTTTTTATAAACTACTTTAAGTAGCGTATACATCTATAAACTCTCTAAAAGTATAGCGTTCTATAGTATTTCTTTAGTATAGTTAATAATAGCTATAGTTATAATAGAAGTAGAAGTAAAGTTCTAAATTATAGTAGCTACTTACTCTTATATAATATAATATAAGCGTTTAACTATATCTACTATATAGTAAGTATATAGAATATAAAGTTCTATAGTAATACTATAGTTAGCGTAGTATGCCTTAATTACATTAGTAATAAACTTATTATTACAGCGTAGCTAATAGATAAGTTTACTATACTTTATAATAAAACGCGTAAGAAGTAAGATAAGTTTAGTACTAATAGTGTTCTTTAAGCTAAATAGCTTTATCTATATAAAGCGTATAGCGTTATTAATAAGAAAAAGAGTATACTTTTTACTATTTAAACTAGAGACTAGATAAAGTCTCTAGATATCTATAGTAACTAGCTTACTAAACTATTAATAGTGTTAGTTAGCTAGGTTACGCAGAATCTTATATAAAGCTTAGATAGTGTAGTATATAGAGTAGTTATCTTTAAGCTTAGCTTTAATTTAAGTATTAGTAATAGTTATCTTTATGCTTATTTAGGTAAGTTATTATATACTTTCTAAACTAAGGTAGCTAAGGTAGTAGTGCTTAGCCTAAACTAGATTATTAAAATTAACTATAGTAGTAATAATAGACTAAGAAGGTAGTTACTTAATAGAGAGAACGTAGATATTAATATAAAAATTGCAAAGCGTATAGATAACTTTAGCTTTAGTATCTTTTTTATATATCTTTATATAATCTTTAGTAGTAATTATAATAAAACTAGGTTTTAAATTAGCTAAGAAGAAAATAGAGAGAAAGTTACACTATACTTAGAGCACGTAGCGCACGTTATAAAGCTAGAGTATAATAATCTTACTTTAGAAGTTTATAACTATTATTTTAATAGTCTCTATTCTAGTAATATTAAGTTACGTACCTTATTTATATACGTTTATAGTTTCTATATAAGGCGTAAGTTTAGTAAATAAAGAGTAGTTATTAGTAATATATTAGAAGACTCTACTATTATAGATCTAGTAGTAAGTAGTTAGAGTTAAGTATATAGTTATAAGTATAACTAATAATATATTAGAACTATAAATACTATCTAAACTATTCTTATATAGGCTACTTAAGAGAGCTCTCTATACTTCTAAGTAAATACTTTTACACTTCTAGATAGCGTTAGTAAGTACTAGGTAAGTAGAGTAAGAGTACGTATAGTTTAGGTCTATAGTAGAGTTAAAGTTAGCGTTAAAGTTAGTAACTACTATAATAATATAGTTCTAGTTACTACTAGAGTTAGTAGAAGCGTAGAGAGTAAGAGCTATAGTAGGTTTAGCCTTAATCTTAGCAGCGTGTTTCTTAGCGTTATACTTATTCTTAGTATATCTAAGCTTTTTATAGAATATATACTTAGAAGTGTCTAGCTTATCTATATAATAATAGGTATTAATAGTATATCTACTATAACTATAGTAATTATAGTTAATATAAGGTAAATCTTATTTACTAGCCTTACTAGACTAGGTAGTCTTAGTCTTATTCTTAGAAGTAGTGTTCTTAGAATAATTCTTAGAATAATTCTTAAACTTATTATTTTTGTTAGCTTACTAATAAGCGCTATTATTATTAGTATAGTTAAGTAGAAGTAACTAAAATTTCTTAAAGTTATTAGTGCTTACCTTCTTACTAAAGTGCGTAAAACGCTAGTGTTAGATAAATAAGTTATAGAGATAGAGTAAAGTAGTAAGAATCTTAGTAATAAGCTGTAAGCGCGTAAGAGTACTATTAGCGTTCTAGATATTATTATAGATATTCTTAAACTTAGTAAGAAAAGAGCGTATAGCTATAATATTATTAAGCTTAATATAGTCTAACTTAATAAAAGAGCGCTTAAACTATATCTTGTTATTAGATTTATTATTATTAATAATAGAGGCTATTACTAATAAAGGTAACTCTAGATTACTAATTTTCTTCTATATCTAGAGTTCTATAGCAGCCTAGAGAAGTGTAAACACAAAGTAATATAACTTCTTATACTCTTTATACTTCTAAAGGTAGAGATTATAGTATATTAGTTAAGACTATAGGTCTAGTCTAAATAAGTTACCTTAAGTAGTAATCTTAGAGTTAGTAGTCTAATAAGTGTAATAGAAGAAGGTAAAATCTAGCGTAGTAGGTTTAGTAACTATAGCTAAGTTATTCTTATAGAGATACACGTATCTATTAAGACTTATAATAAGACTAAACGCCTTAGCCTACTCTAAGTAGTTCTTAGAGCTAAATAGTTTAGTAAAGTTCTTATCTAAGGTAGTAGTAGTATTAATTAGAGTACTTATAATAATATAGTGTATTAAGAGTAGGTAAAGATATAGAGTGTAGAGTAGGTACTTCTTAGATAAGGTGTAGTGTAGTTAGGTAACTATAACTATAGTTAGTCGCGCAATGTAGAGCGCAAGTATAGTAATCTAGTAAGCTAGATCGCGCGTAGTTGTATAGAGGCTTATAACCTATAGAATAGAGAGAAGTGTAGAATATATTAATGTTCTATATACAAAGAAGTGTGCCTCTGTTTATATAGAGAGAAGGAAGCGCTAGTAAGTACGCTAGTAAGTAAATCACGTGAGAGGATGCCTAACCAACACAAATCTAGTGGCATCGCCCTCAAGATCTCCCCCATCGAAGGCGGAATCTCCAAGCCCAACGTCAGCCAGACCATCTTCGCCTACAATCTCGACGTCAACCAGGTCTGGTACGATATGAGCGACATCTTCGGTGACGGGTTTGCCGGAAAGTCCTTGACACTCAAGCCAACGGATGCTACCTGCGAAAGCATTGTATGGGCTTCAGGCGAGCCACCCGCGGGTAGTCAGATTAAGGTCTGTGGGGCTGAGACGGACTTGGAGCTGACATTCTGCACGCCTCCGCCGCCGTCGCAGTGCTTGCCCGCTTGGTCTCCTTGCGGGACGAGTGCGCCTCCGGGTGAGACGAGGCTGTGCTGCACGCATTGCATTGGCAATCATCACTGTGTACAGGCTCCAGGTTCTTAAGTGAATGTGGTTCAATGGCGAAGCGGACAAGAGTGGTATAAAAGCTGGGCATTCGTTCTTTACTGAGGAGAAGGGACTATCGAGGTAATGTTTTTATCGATACGTAGTTTTGCTGTTTAACACGTCGCTCATTCAGACTTTGATAGATGCAATACACCATCTAGAACAAATGTTTTGCTAATGCTTCCCCAGGGCCTTCTGCTATACTGATTTTTGACGTTAATATTCGTTGGACTCAGTCCTGTTTCTGGGGCAGTAACCCACTGAAGCTCTTCGCCTAAGACAGTCCCAGTACTCATTCGAAGATCTCACAGATCTCGCCATCAGCTAGAGTGACAATCGGGATTCCCGCCCTCTTCGCCATCTTCGGAAAGTTCGCCACTATGTGATCAGGCGGGGCCAAATCGCCGCGCCAATGCACCTCTAGGCGTCGTAAATCTTCCAGAGGCGCGAATTTGCCCTTGAGATAATCATCTAGTGAGACCAGCGTATCATGATCCGCTTGATGAATCGCGAGGGTATCCACACCCGCCAGGATAGGGTAATGGTTCAGGGTTGGACCAGACTCGACTTCGAGGATCCGCAGATTGGGGATACTCTTCATGAGGGCTAGCAGGTTCTGTGCAAACCTTCCTCCGCCCCACAAGAGTCCGCTTGTGACTATGACTTTGAGAGTATTGACGTTAACCCAGCAGCCTTTGTGCACTGTTGGAAATGCTGTACCTCTATCGTACTCGAGAGTGAGGTTGGTGAGAGTAGAAAAAGGAATCGCGCTGAGACCTTCAAACCCAGTGGAAAGTGTGAGTGACGATATCCTGGCGGGCGACAAACCCTGTTTCAAAGGTGTGAGGTCGAACGCTAAAACCCAGAAGCGATCTTTGGGATTTTGAGATTCTACAAAACAACGTCTTGTATACAGTTCCACGGTCTGGAGTTTGGGAAGTGCCGCAAGAATGAGGCCGCACACTGCGGCCTCTGAAGGAGATCTGAAGTTCTTCATGAATGACTCCTTCTCCTCAACCGATAGCTGGAGTGACTCAGCAATGTTACCCAGGTTCTTTTCACAGCTACCACAATTGCAGAGCCTGTCTTTTTCGTAGTCTTTTGGAATCCAAGCTGGCGACTTGTTCCAGAACCAAACAGCCAGGCTGCGCACACGGATGCCAAGTTCTGGACGATGGGTTATCGTACGTAGAAAGGGCGCCAAGAAAGAAGGGGCCCTCTTCTTCAGCAAATACGAGCGGTATGGCTGAGGCAGGGAGACGTCGCGATACAAAATGGCTTGGGCTATAGGGAGCAGCCGCTTGCATGTCAGACTCGTGAAAAGCATACTCTGAACTTCTGCCCCATGCCTCCAACGCGCCTGCTCAGTTTCTGGTGCCACTTCTGGGTATTCCCCGTATGTGCGGTCATAGGTGCGGTCACCGTACCCTTGGCTCATGAGTAGACCCTTGGTAGGCGCAAGGTACTCTACTATTCGCAACAGCAGCTCGTTGGGTAAACGCAGAAGACGGCTGTCATCTGGTTTTCGCGTTGATGATGAGCACGGATCGATGCGCAGGTAATCAAAACACTGAGCCATGGAGTCGTCGGAGTCATTGGAGTCGCACCAATCCCTCCGCGCGGGTGCCATTTGATCGTAGTGGTGGAGGATGGAAGTGTAAATGTATTTTCACGTCTGACTGTGGGGATCGTGATCAGCTCGCACAGAAGTTGGTATTTCCAAGCGCTTTCTCTACTTGACAAGCGCACCAATGGGTGTGCGATTCTTTCCTCCGTTGCTCGTGACAAACCAATGTGTGTGTGTGTCCTCAAATCAGGCAGAAACAGAGCTGTGAACTCGGCCCCGCGGGACATTAGGCCTCCAGGGCCGCAATTTGGGGCAGGCTATACCTGATTCGGCATAACAAAGATAGGGGAAGGGCAAGCGTCACGCAACATCTCTCTATTCCACTTCGCAGCTATTGCGCGCAACCATATTGCCATGGCGGCTGGTAGCTCTATTCAGAGCGGATTAATTTACGCGAGCTCTTTACATGCGAGCAAGACTGCTTGTTTCCCACCGCCGTAATATACAAACACGAAAGCCCTGTCGATTGACAAAAGTACCTGGGTAGCTACACATTGATCGCACATCATCCTTCATATCATCTATCACGCTAGATCATAACCGCATCTCCATCAGCGTCCCACTCAACTTCCACCCTATCCATCGGATCCTGATGCACACCAAAAGGTCCCATCGCTTTCCTCCAGCACACGTACTCCGCACGATGTAGCACATCCGGCTCGGCCTTCAATCGCCACGGAGTACCACCCTCCGACTCCCATGTCGACATAGTCCACGGCGGGAAGTAGAGATACACCGCAATCTCGGCGTCGCGACATATTTTGCGTACATCGTCGATTGGATCTAGACAGTTGTCCAGTTCGGCGCTGAATCTGGTGTTGTCTAAATGTTCCATATGATAGGCTTCTATGCGCGTGAGGTTGGGTAGGTGGAGCTTCTTCTTAGCGAGACAGAGCGTATTTAGGAAGTTGGCTGTGATGTGCGTCGCCTCGCTGATGCGCAGGACTTCCAGCGTCTTTGGGAAGATCTCCGCCGGATCCGTAATTGGCAGTCCTTGTCGTATGATTCCATGGCCTTGTATCGCCTTCATAGTCAGACCGACTTCCCTCAGGCTCTCGAAGCGGCGGAGGTCGAAGACCGTAGTCACGCTGTGGGAGTATCTTATCGCTGTCATGTCGCTCGGTATCTCAAGCACTGTCAAATGCGGTAACTTGGCTGTCAGCGCTCCAAGCAAGAACTTGTGCTTCCACTCGTATGGTAGTGTATAGCTTGCGCGAGCGGATGCAGACCGTGTACTCGCGAAGAGAGGAAAGTCCATGAGCCATGTATCGCCGAGCTTCAACTCGCGTAGATTGGGTAAAGCACAGATAAGGACGGCGAATAATGCAGGGACGATGTCATCTCTGATAGCTTCTAGCCAATCCTTCGCATGTCGTTTGTTGGTAGCGAAGTGATTGATCATGACCCCACATGCTTCCAGGAACTCAGCGTCCTGCCTTATGTAATCCGGAGCAGGCAGCGCATTATATTTGGGTTGGGTGAGATACACTTGTACCCCAGTGCGAGTAGTATGTTGGGTCCTGGTTGTTCTGCCTTCACTCTTACTCCAAATCTCCAGGCTCTTGACCTGGCCGAGCAGGTGCGACCGGTATCCTAGTTCTGACATGTACCGATCGATGAATGCGAGATTGAACCTTGGTTCTTTGAGTAGCCATTCTTGCGCGACAGGCCGCCATCTCTTGGATACGAGCGCAAGACTTGCAAGATCCTGGTTGCGACTCAAACTCGTAAACTGTGCGCCGATGTTGAGAAGTAATTCTTCCGGAAGATCGCCGATGGTCTTAGGTGTGCGAGGTGAATGTGAGAACGTGGAAGTTCGGAACATGATGGGCAAGCTAGAGAAATTCGGGCTGGAGCAAGGGTCGCGCGGGCGGTGATATGGTGGGGTAGGCGCGAGGCTGAGATGTCTAATTAGGCAGCGGTGATGAGTGGTTGACTCGCGCCCAGGCAGCGATAGGGTATCATCGACGGATAACAAGCTGCCAGAATATACGAATGAGCTTTGCGCTACCGTAAGGATTGGGTCACGTCGAGTGCGGGGTGACCAGATTTTGGAAGTTTGGAAGAAGCGCACGGTTGTGTCACGTGTTTGCGTCTTTCACGTCCGATCTTTGCAGCGAGCAGATGCAGCTGATAACTTCCGCCCATCTCATGCCCACTGCTCTTCCCAGACTACTACGAATACTATCTAGAATCTTTCACAGATCGATAATCCACCCTGAACATATTGAGAGACAGGCCGGCTCGGAAACCTAGCCCATGGCGCATATCGTCCATGTTCATCTAATCATTAAATACCACCCAAACATTCTGAACAGTTCCTGTAGCATAACCTCCTCTTCGGTTGCAGCAGTATCTTCCAGGCAACGCTAGCCCACAGTGTCTCACTGAACTCGGCGGCCATGGGGATACTTACAGATTCTAAATGCAGACGTTCTATGTCCTCGTCCAAGCCCTGCGCCTTATCGGTAATGTATGATGCAGGCTCGTTGAATTCAGCTTTATTGGACCGCTTTGTCTGCTCTTCTTTCGCACACGGTTTCTTGATCGAGTCTCTGTACTGATCTGGAGACTGTGCGTTCGTACTCTCCGTGGTGACAAAGCTCGCACCAAGGAATAGAGTCTCTTTAGCGAGAGGCGCAAGTTTCTGCTCGAAGCGGAGAGTGAACTGGAAACTGTCCAGATCTGCCGTGCGCGTTAGTCTTATGTCAGTATCGCACCAATACCAAACTCACTCAGTAATGGCGAAAGCCGTCGCCTGAACGCACGCTTCCCCAGAGCCCTGTCAGCCCATCCACTAGAGTCGATTGTCGCTTGCTTCTTGTTTGGTTCTTGAAGCTGCGGATCCCACTTGCTGCTCCTGATACCATGAAAGAATGCACTCTGTATCCACAACCTCAAATCAAATGTGGGGCTGTTCAGGAGTTGCGAGTGGTGGTCAGCGTGACGTAAGAACACCCTGACGCCAAAGGCCGGTTGGGGTTGTCTGCTTGCTTCTGGAGCCCACTCGGAGAATGGCGCTGATGACCCTGAACAGCGCCACATTTCCAGAGGCCGTAAACGATAAAAAGCCTCGAGTTCTTGGCGCATGTCGCCGGTTACCTCTTGGGACCCACTATGGAAGGTCACTTTGATGCCTTTGCGACCGAGGCTTGTAAGTAGGTCAAGGTAATCCAGCCGACCCAGATCGAAAGCGTTGCACAGTATGATGAGTTGTTTACACGGCGTGTTGAAATATAGCTCAACGTGCTTGAGTCTCAGGTCGCCCACAGGGATTTCGTTTATTCTTTGCAAAAGAGCAAACGTCCATTTATTACACGAGCGCAAGTGAAGGCGTTGGATAGTGAGTGGTATGACTTTGGAACGTGCCTCTT